TTTCCTTTTAGTACTTTAATGATATTGCTCCACTGTTTTCTGGCTTTCAGAAGAAAACAAGGCTGGAAGGCTGATGAGAAGTCAATCGCCGTTAGTACTCATGAGAAGTCAAGTGTCTCCTGTATGTAATTTGCCTTTTTAAAAGGCTGGCTGTTTTTAAGATTTTGGCGGGTATATTTTCTTTTTAGCAGATTTTCTATGACATATCGAGGCACTGTTGTCTTTGGATTTATCCTGCTGGGAGTTCATGGAGATTCTTGAATATGTAAATTGATGTCCTACACCAAGTTAGGTGAATATTCAGCTGTTATTTTTCCAAATATTTTTTTCTGCTCCATTTTCTTTCTCTTTTTCCTCTTGGGCTCCTCATACGTGCATGTCAGATAATTTGACATTGTCCCACAGGTCACTGAGAATCTCTTCATTTTTAAAAAGTCTTTTTTTCCTTCATTCTCTGGACAAGACACTTTCTACTGATCTGTCTTCAATTTATTAACGTTTGTTCTCTGGTCTCCAATTTGCTGCTATGCCCATCCAGTGAGTTTTTCATTTTGGATATTGTACTTTACAGTTTCAGAATTTCCCTTTGTTTCAAGGTTTTCACTTGTCTGCTGAAATTCCCTATTTGTTCACTCATTGTAACAATATTTTCCTTTGTGTCCTTTAACATAACTCTTACAATTGTTTTAAAGTCCTTGTCTGTTAATTCTAATATCTAGGCCATTTTTGGGTTTGTTTCTATTGGCTGATTTTTTTTTTCTTGATTACAGGTCACATTTTTTTCTGCTTCCTTGAATGTCTCATGATGTTTTTATTGTATGCCCAATATTGCGGATAATACAATCTAGAGAGTCTGGATTATGTCTTCCTTTCAAAAGTGTTGAGTTTTGTTCTGGCAGACAGTTAAATTACTGAAGGCTCTTTCCAATCCTTTTAGGCCTGGGCTTGTCTTTTGTTGAAGCAGGTGCATTTCAATGTTGTCCTTTGTTCTAGGCTGTAGCCCTTATCCTATAGGGTGTACTTCTTACTCCTAAAGTGTGACTTTTCTGAGGTCTCAGCTAAATGCCCATAGTGCTCAGAAAGGCTCTTTTATTCTGGCTGAGCTGGGACTCCAAAGTCTCCCAGCACTGCATGACTCTGGTATCTTCATTTTTCTCAGCACCATAGCACCACTTCTCAGCACACTTCTAGGCCTGATGGAGTCTCATCTTGTATGTGCTCTCTCAAGCCCTTGGCTAAGGACATGTGGAAACTCATATACTTCTGCCCTCCTTCACCCCACATAGGACCCTCCTGGTTCCCTACCTTACAAATTGCAGCTGCCTTAGCAGCCTAAGCCCTGATATCTGCCTCCTCAGCTCAGCCTGACTCCACTTCTCTGTCTGCAGTTGGCAACTGTCCCCAGGCAGAAAATCAGGAGCAAACGTGGGGTCATCATGGGATTCAACTCATGTTTCCCTCTCAAGAACACAGTCCTTCTCTGAAGATTGTCCCACTACTCAAGAGAGTTGTCTTACATATTTTGTCCAGTTTTATAGTTGTTTACAGAAAGAGGGAAAGTCTGGTACTCTGTCACGGCTGGAAGTGGAAGTTTCAGTTCTTATTACTGAGTATTAAAGGATAGAGTGACCCTGGAATGGTAGAAGACCTGTGGACCTTTATGTCTCACATAAGAACAGCTGACCTAAGCTGAGCTACAGCTAAGACTGTGAGTTCTGGAGCCAGAGAGACTCACATCTGGATCTTACCATCTACTAGTAGTGTAATCTTGGGTAAGTTACTTAACCTCTCTGTTCCTCAGTTTCCTTCATCTTTAAAGTGGGGTACTTCAATAATGGTATCTACCTAATGAAGATTAATCCTTTTACTGTGCTTATCATAATGCGACATCCAGTAAATATTCATTATTATTATTTTCATCATCATCATTCTTCCCTGGAATACTGCTAATGGGAATTTCCATCTCTGACCTCATTCTACTGCCTCAAATTCCCTCACATCCTAGGGAGCCAAACCCATTCTGCCACCCCTCACAAAGCCACACTCTCCTGACTCCCCCCCTACATTAAAGTTGACACTGACCTGCTCTCTCACCTTAAGTCAACAGCCAATGGAAAAGCCACCTCCCTCTTAGAGCCACCATGCAAAAAGCCCAGTTCCCTGACAAGCACCCCTCATAGGGGTACTACTGAATATGCAACCCCACCCCCAAAGGAACCACTGCATTTGTTCTGTCCTACAGCCCCTGACCTTAGACCTCAGACAACCTTTCTATTCCTTTCCCGTCACTGCTTAGCCCTTCTACTCTGACTAAACTCTCTGTTGGAGCAGCTTCCAGGGGCCCTACCTCCTTATTCGCTTCTATAGTTGAGGACATCCCCTTACCAATATAGCCATGTGGAAGAAAAAGACAAGGCTGTTGTGATCATTACCTGCTGTCTGTCTGCCCGGCATCCTATCCTTGGGGAAGCCTTTCCTCTTCCCATGGTGATCCTGTTTAGTCCACGGGATTTGGGTGCAGCCAACTCTGCCCTCATCTCCAACCAGCCCCAGGGAAGAGCATGGACACACGCCTGGCCAATCAGAGCGTTCTATCTCCTTGGTCAGAATGATTGGCTCAGGGATGCACATGTGACCAAAGCTGGGCCCCTTAGAGATGTCTTTGAAATTTCTGCCAGTATTGTCAGGAAAAAGATCCCTTCTTTCCCCCTCGAATTGTGAGGTCTAAGGAAGACAAGGTTTGTGGCTGCCAGTGGTAATTGGTAGTACCAGGAGTTAACCTGGAGGCCTGATTCCAGAGTCTGTTCTCTTTAACTACTATGCTTGTATGCCTCCAAATCCTGAGACAGAATCTGGAGGGTGCTGTGGAAGTATTATTAGCTGGAGAGCTCAATGGACTATAGGGTGCCTGACACCAACATTGATATGCTTTAGGCGTGCAGGCCCTGCTTCCCCAGCGCTACGGTCTGAATGTTTGTGCCCCCTCAAAATTCATGTTTTGAAACCTACTGCCCAGTGTAATGGTATTAAGAAATGGGGCCTCTGAAAGGTGATTAGGTCATGAGGGTGGAGCCCTCATGATGGGAGTAGTGCCTTCATAAAAGAGCTCCTGGACAGCTCCCTTGCCCCTTCCACCTTTTGAGGACACAGTGAAAACAACTTCTGTGAACCAAAAAGTGAGTCCTCACCAGACACGGAATCTGCCACCACCTTGACCTTGGACTTTCCAGCCTCCAGAACTGTGAGAATATAAATTTCTGTCATTGGGGCCGGTCCGGTGGCGCAGCAGTTAAGTGTGCACGTTCCACTTTGGCAGCCCAGGGTTCGCCGGTTCGGATCCCGGGTGTGGACATGGCACTGCTTGGCAAAAACCATGCTGTGGTAGGCATCCCACATATAAAATAGAGGAAGACGGGCATGGATGTTAGCTCAGGGCCAGTCTTCCTCAGCAAAAAGAGGAAGATTGGCAGCAGTTAGCTCAGGGCTAATCTTCCTCCAAAAAAAAATTTCTGTTGTGGAGAAGCCACCCAGGTGACGGTATTGTGTTAAGCAGCCCAAATGCACAAAGACACCCAACTACCTAGAGAGCTGGAAGGTGGCAGGGCATGGCTTACAAGACATCTGTCAGGATCCCACACAAGTCGTTTATTAGCGCAGGGCAGTAGATCATAACTGTGGAGTCTCAGAGTCTGGGAAGCTTTCTCAAAATACACAGGGCAGGATATACTCCAGACCCACTGTATTGGAATCTTGGGATGTGGTGTGACAGACTGCATTTTTGCTTGGCAAATACTCAGTCTCCCAATCCCCTGCTTCCTGCGGTGCTGTGCACTGAATTTTGTCTCCCAAAATTCATATTTGGAAGCCCTAATTGCCAACGTGGTGGTATTTGGAAATGGAACGTTCTGGAAGTAATTAGGTCATGAAGGTGAAGCCCTCGTGATGAGATGAGCACCCTTATAAGAGACATGAGAGAGACCTCCCCCATCCCCACCTCTCTCTCTCCCTCTCTCTCTCTCTCCTCACCACGTGAGGACACAGCAAGAAGATGGCCATCTGAAAGCCAGGAAGAGACTTCTCACCAAGAACTGAATGGGCCAGCACCTTCATATTGGATTTCTCGGCCTCCACAACTGTGAGAAGTAAATTTCCATTGTTTAGGCCACCCAGCCTACAGTATTTTGTTACAGCAGCCCGAGCTGACCAAGACATGCAGGGAGTGTATTCTTCTCCACCTGGTGGTATTAGTTTTGGTCATGTGACTTGCTCTGGCTAGTGGAATGTGGGTAGAAATGAGAAAGCACAGTTCTGAGTGTAGGCTTGAAGGGGCATTGCATATTTCCATCAGCCCTTTTGAGCCTCCTCCCTTTGCCATGGCAACAACATGCCCTAGATAGTGGCTAGTCCTTCAGCCTCAGTTCCAGAATAGAAGGCATGGGGAGCAGACCTGAACTCTACCCACAGTTTGGGGCAGACAATCACACCTAACCCCCAGCTACAAGCCAAGCTCGTACAAGTCCAGCAGAGCCTGGCAGAGGCAAAAATAAAGGTAGCTGATTTGTGAACTAAAAATCACTAATATTTTGGGAATGTTTGCTACAGCAGCAAAAGCTGACTAATAGAAGTGATATACATGGGGTATTTCCCATTGGTGACAAAGCTCCCCCATCTTCCCCAGTTTAAAGACCACTTGGAAAAATAAGGAGCAGAGGTTTGGGGTCAGCCCAGGTCTGAGTTTTGGGCAGGTTTACTAACCTCGTTGAGTTTCAGGTTCTTAATCTATAAAATGGTTGGTTGTGACAATTAAGTAAGATAGTTTATGGAAAGCCCATGGCCGTGCTGAACACATACAAAACTTGTCTCTTTCCTCCCTAAGCATGATGCAAGGGGCAGCGGCAAATACTTGAGGACAGAACGAATGAATGAGTGAGTGAGTGAATCCTTCCAAATCTGAGTCCTCCTTCACTGGAGCCCTCGGAAGTCTCCCCATCCTCCTGTACCTTTCTTCTTCGTCACTGCTGGTTCCTTCTTCAGCTGCTAACTTATCTTGATACTCTTCTCCTCTGGGCAGGGTCTCAGAAGGTTCACTCAGCTTCAAGCATGGATCCTGAGGCAAAAACAGTTGCAAGATGAGACTAAGTACACCATCCCTGATTCAACCTGAGGCTTATCAAACTAGGGAGCAGAGGAGAAAGAGCCCCAGCAATCCACTAGTGCTGTACCGCTCACAGGCCTGGGAGGGTGAGGCCTGTGGTGGCTCAGCGCTCAGCACAGTGCCTGTCATAAGAGGAGCATCAGCCCTTACCTTTGCATCCTGGTTTTCAGTCTGCAAAGCGTTTCACACAGCTGATGAAACTACGAAACTAGAGCATGGAGAGAGTAAGCAGCTTCTCCAGGGCCCCACCCTCAGGGAGCAGTGGAAATGGAATATGCAACCAGGCAATCTGACCCCAGGGCTGTTGTGGGGATCAGAGAGCAGTGCCAGCAACAGCCACTGGTCAGTAGTGTGAGCAACTGATTATTATTATTATATTTGTGTATGTATGTGTGAGGGAGATTGGCCCTGAGCTAACATCTGCTGCTCATCTTCCTCTTTTTGCTTGAGGAAGACTGTCGCTGAGCCAACATCTGTGCCAATCCTCCTTTACTCTATGTGAGATGCTGCCATAGCATGGCTGACGAGCGGCGCCAGCTCCACACCAAAGTGGAGCGCACAAACTTTACTAGGCCACTGGGCCGGCCCCCTGATATTATTATCACCATACCTTTTTACAGGTGGCAGCCTGCTACATCTCATTACACAGGGTCAGAAAACATGGAATTTGCTGGATGACCAGAAGCACTGAGAAATGAGGTAGGGTGGGAGGAGAATGGGAAAGCACGAGTTAACACTGAAGCTTCAGAATTTTCTATGAGTTGAATTTATTCAGGTTATCATTCTCCCCTCTCCACAGAGATAGATATAAAGGTGAAAAAGACTTTCTTATTTTGACTTTTCAACTTGTCTAGGGAACCACTGTCCATGGAAAACAGTATAACAAGACAGGCTAGGAACAGATTTCTATGTTGGTAAATCTCATTAAATAATGATAAATTGCAACCTGGGTTTTCCCCTACCTAGTTGCACGGCATTGAGCCAGTCTCTTACCTCCTCTGGACCTGAGCTTCATCAACTGTAAAGTGAAGGGGTTGGCTTACATCTGCGGTTTTCAAACTGTGCTCCAGGGAGCCTGGGAGATGTCTCAGGGGCCCTCAGGGGTGGGAAGGGGCAGAGCTGAGGCTGGACAAGAGAGCCTTCAGCTCCCATCCCCGCCCCCGACCTGGAATGAAACTGCTTTGGTTGCCCTTCCATGTACTATAATGTCTATTAAAGGCCACCAATGTCAAGGCCAATGATGACCTCCATATTGCAAAATCCAGCGGTCACTCCTCAGGCCTCAGTTAAACGGACCTCTCCGCAGAATTGGAAATATCTGAGCACTCTCTCTTCCATGCAGCCCTCTCTCCTGGGTTTTCCACTCCCTCACCAGCTGCTTCTTCTCAGTCTCCCCTGCTAAAGCCTCCTCTTCTGCTGCCCCAGACCTCAGTCCTTGGACTTCTCTTTTCTCTCTCACTCCCTGGAGTCTCATCTAGTTCCATGGATACTGATGACAAACAAATTGATCTATTTCCAAGCTTTCCCTCAAAGTCTGAACTTCTGTGTGCAACTGCCCTCCAGACATTAGTCAGATGAGAATAAGCTTCTCAAACTGCAACATGTCCAGACTGAACTCTTGGTCTCACTACCCCCAAACAACAAGCATGCCCCTTGCCTCAGGGCCTTTGCACTGGCTGTTCCACCTGCCTGCAACATTCTTCCCTGTAATATTGACATGCCTTGCTCCCTCACTTCACTTCACTCACCACAACCAAGAGACCTTCCTGGTTGAAAGCTTAGATTCTGGTACTAGACTGCTTATGCTTAAAGCCCAGTTCTTCTTCTTAACGATGTAACTTCAGGAAAATTACTTAGGTTGTCACGAGGATTAAATGAACCAATAAATGTAAAGTCCTTGGAACAGTACTAGCTACACATGAGTACTCAATTAATATTCCCTAGGATTATGGTTTTCTGACCTTCTCAGAAATACCCCCTTTCACCTTCTTTTCCTCACCTCACTATATGTTTTCCTGAAAGTACATATCACGGCCTGACATTAATTATTTGTCTACTTCTTTATTCTCTGTTTCTCTCTCTGGAAGGAAAGCTTCATGAGGACAGGGACTCTGCTCTGCTCCCCACTGCTTCCCGGTGCCTAGAACAGTGTGTGGTACATGGAGAACACCCAGTAAACACTACATGGATAAACCCCAGTACACCACGGGCCACTCTAGGACAGCAGGAGGACCAATCTCTCCCATGCTCACCGCATGCTCCCACTACGTCCCATGGGGGGAAGGGCGGGGACAAACTGCATTTCTCATGAGAAATCCACAAGGCACTTGGCTGGAGCGGGGATGTAGAGACAGCCGGAGCCCAAAGTTTGGGAGTTTCCCAGCTCCGCTCAGGAGCCCTCCATGCCTGTATGATTCTTAAGTTCTGAGTTCTGTTTGAATCATCTGTGTTGCCTCTAAACGTAGCAGAATGACCTGTGATGCTGGACCCCTCACTTCCAGAGGATTGGGGTGGAAGTGGCACCTGAGAAGCCCCTGCCCACTCTGCCGGGGAGGGCCTGTCCAAGGGTGCCCAGCGTGATGCATTGTTAGAGAGTAAGGGTCCACTCTGCTGCCCACAGCCCTTCTACCTAAGCCCTTGTCTTCCCTCTGGGGTGATGTGTGGTGGGTCAACTTAACTTAGCCAGACCTACATTTTCCAGGATGCCCTTCCCTGCATAATTCCGGGCCGTGTGACTTTGAGTAAGATCTGGAAGATGGACGGAACCAGCAGCCTTTTTCTTTTTAAGCTTGGATGCTTGATGCAGGGCGGCAGATGCTGTCACAGCTCAGGCATGTTGTCGCTGACCTGCTCGCTCACCTTGTTGGACTGGGGAGTTTTTGGGCTCTTGGCTCCTTCACCTTCTGCTCGACCCTCCCTAGGCTTCTCCATATCCTGAGCCAAGTGCACATTTAGCTCTATGATGAAAGATGCAGGGCTCTCCTATGGTTCACCCATATCATCAAAGTTGGAGGCTCACTGGCCTCAGAAACCGACACTGTTCAAGCTAGGCCTCATGGGCTGCATTTGTCCTTGGTCTTCCCCATTCCACATCTGTCTTTCTTTCCTTCCCACTGCCCGCCCTGCTCTGGACCCACTTTAGGCCCCCCACCAGACGCAGAAGCAAGAGCTGACCATAAACTATTTCATAGGCTCCCACAATTATGCCAGGTTATTTCCTAAAATGAATCCCACATTCTATGTCATTTCTAGTAGTCTGTTTCTCTGATCAAACCCTAACTGATGCACTCTTTAATCTCCAGATCCTACTATCCTTCAAGGCCCTGCTCAACTGTCACTTCCTCCATGAAGCCTTCACAATCTCTTCTGTTGCAATTACACTCTCTCCTCCTAAAGTTCCCATAACAATTTTTTTGGTACCATAATTTGCTTACAAATATTTATTGACCACTTACTACGTGCCAGGCACTGTTCCAGGGACACAGTAATAAACAAAATAGACAAAAGTTTTTCTGGCTTGTATTAGTTATAGGAGTGTTTTCTTTCTCCCTTCCTGAAATATAAATGGAGGTAAAAGTAATCCCAGATATAGTTTTAAAAACATCATAAATCCTATAGCCAGTAACTGAGAATGTTCAGCATGACCAGGTTCCATGGCCTGAATCCTTCATCTTTACTGTTTGTAACCGGATACTGAAATCCAGCTGGTTGACACGTTGGAGGGCCCAGTGAATCTGGTTCATTGCTGTTCACTTTCAAAAATGATGTCACTGACCAGTTTATAACCTCCATGTGAACCTGAGGCTAAAAGGTCCATCTTTGCCTCCTAGTTTCAGGTATTTGGGGCATTAAAAATGTCTTGGAGATCTCCAATTCCTATAAAGCCCAGAAACAAATATCACAGTCTAAACAAAACAGCTTTGTGAGATACCTGTTATAAATACACGTTCTGTATAATCTGGGGAAAATCGCACAGTGAAGCTGGAACAACCACCACCAAAAATCAGAGCATCATAATACTACAACATAAATACTTAAATAATGACTAAAGTTAATTAGGTCCAGGTTTCAAAAGGAAAATTGAATGTTACAAAGAAATTTTGAAGTAGAAGATAAATAGAAAGAAAAATAGAAAGCACAAACTATGTTGGTGAAAATAATCCTAATGATACCCAGTAATCAGAGTAAATATGAACTGGCTACGGTCAAGGATCTATCTCCTAGCAAAAGGATAGAGCATTCACTGAAATGCTCTAAGAAAGAAGCTGTGGGCATCTAACATTACAACCTGAAAACATAAGGCAAAAAGTTCATAATTGTAGGGAGAAATGAGCAAATTTATAACTATAATGGGAGATTTTAATATATATCTCTCAGAAACTGACACATCAGGTAGACAAAATGAGCTAGGATATGGAAGATTTGAACAATAAGATTAAAAAGCTGAACCAAATAGCTAAAAAAGAAAGAATACTAAACACTGCTGACGTTATATGATGCTTAGTGTCTGCCAGGCCCTCGACTCTCTGAAGTGGGCACTAGCATCTATTTTAAAGGTGATGGGGGGGCCGGCCCTGTGACCCAGCAGTTAAGTTCACGCCCTCCGCTTCGGCGGCCCAGGGTTTCGCTGGTTCAGATCCCAGGTGCAGACATGACACCGCTCATTACGCCATTCTGAGGCAGCGTCCCACATACCACAACTAGAAAGACCCACAACTATACAACTATGTACTTGGGGGATTTGGGGACAAAAAGCCGAAAAAAAAAAAAGAAGATTGGCAACTGTTGTTAGCTCAGGTGCCAATCTTTAAAAAAAAAAAAGGTGATGGAACTGAGGCAGGAGAGGATATGTAACTTGCCCAAGGTCATACAGTGATTATATCACACAACTACGACTCAAATCTATATACTTTAATGACCAAACTGAGAATATATGCTTTTTTCTATCACTT